ACCCACTGTGCCACCAGGGAGGGCCCCATATATTTTAAATTTTTAAACTCCTTTTTTCCTAACTTTTCTGTTTTAGTGAGATAACATTAAATGGGATATCTTTTTTTTCCCCCTGATAATTCATTGGCTCCAAAAATGGCTTAGGAAGCTTGAGAAATTTTAGTTTTGTGATTTGGAATATAATTAAGCAGGCCATTCCGTTGACTCTTCTACAGGAGGCTTTTACAGGACACAATCTGCTGAATGGTTGCTGGATTGCACAAGCTATGTGTGCACATAGTTTCGAGACCATTCTCGCCAAGCTCTGTGTAAACACCTTACCCACATTACCTAATTCAGTCCTAACCCTATGAAGCAAGAAGTTGACTCCCCATTTTTTTTAAAGATTTATTTATTTATGCATACAGAACTGGGGTACAGGCCAGAAATACAGGGGTGGTGAGAGGATTCACCAAAGACAGAGTGGAGGGGAGAATAGGCTGACTGATGAAGTACATTGCTGAGGGGAGCAGCAGGAGGATCAGGAGAGGTCTGCCATGCCGTGTGGTCACCTCCAGGGCAGGGATTCAAACTCATGTAGAAGTGGCTTTAGCTTCTTAGTGCTGTGCTTTAACCTGCTTCACCACCAGGGATGACCTGACTCCCCATTTTTAATACAACCAGTGGCCCTTAGAATTGCTAGACTGGCCCAGCTGGCGGGAGAGGGCGGTCTGTGAAGACAGGTGCCTCTCTCCATGGCTGCCCAGCATAGGCACTAGGCCTCAGAGCAGCCCCAGTTTCTGTTGTGAAGCCTTTTTGCTGTGACATTTCCTTTCACCTAAGCCTTTTCCGATTTGGAATGGTGTCACTCTTCAGGAGCCTCTGGAATTTTCATCAAAGCAAACAGAAAGCCTCAGCTGTGATTCTTGCCTTTGCACAAAGGCTTTGGTCCAATAGGAAAGGATCATTAAAGTCATATATAGCCAACAATCATAAATGAGAGCATCATTCTGTTCCACTGTAATTGTCCTGCTGGCATTGTGACTAAATTTCACTCAGTGAATCCGGTGGGAGCACATGACCAGTGCTTTTTTAACCTGTGCTTCATGATTTTCTCTTTAAAAACTTTTTTTTTTTTGGCATGTGAAGCACACTTTTTTTTTTGACAAAAAATTGTGTGTATCTAAGGTGTACAGCATATTTTGATATATCTGCACATTATATGATTGCTGCATCAAGCTAATTAGCATATCCATCACTTGGTTACTCTGTGTGTGTGAGAGGGGTGCGAATACTTACAATCTACCTCAGCAAATTTCAAGTAGTGTTAACAATGCTGTAATTGTGCTTTAATGTGATTTCTAGAACTTACTCCCATAATTGAAATGTAGTACCCTTTGATCAGTATCCCATTTCCCCCAGATCCTGGTAACCACCATACCATAATGCATTGCAAGTTCATTCATATTATTTAAAACGGCAGGATTTCCTTCCTTTTCACTGCTGAATAATACTCCCCAGTGTGAGTGTGTGATTTTTTTTTATTTGTTCTTCAATCACAGGACACTTAGGTTTTTTTCATATCCTAATAATTATAAATAATGCTACAGTGGAGTCAGGAGTACAGACATATTCTGATGTATTTCCAAGGGGAATAGACACAATAGAATTGCTGGATCATATGGTGGTAGTTCTTTTTCTGATTTTTTTAAGGAATCTGCCTACTATATTCCAAATGCTTTTGCCACTTTACATTCCCAAGACAGTGCACAACAGCTCCCCTTTCTCTCCATCCTTGCCAACATTTGTTATGTTTTGTCTATTTGATAATAATCACTCTAACAGATGAGGTCATATTTCACTGTGGTTTTAATTTGCATTCCCCTGATGATTTTGTAATGTTGAACACCTTTTCATAAACTTCTTGGTTATTTGTATGTTTTCTTTTGAGAAAAGTCTGTTCATGTTTTTTGCCCATTTTAAAATCAAGTATTTTTTGTTAGTAAGCTACAGGAGTTCATTATATATTTAAATATTAACCCTCTATGAGATGTGTGATTTTCTCTGATTTCATAGATTTTTCTCTTTACTCAAGATTATTTCTTTTGCAATGCGAACACTTTTAGTCTGTGGCAACTCTACTTGTCTATTTCTGCTTTTGTTGCTTGTGCTTTTGGGATCATGTTCAAAATATTAACCAAACCAATGTGAGGAATACACATTTTTCTATTTTTTTTCCCCTAGTAGTCTTACGATTTTGGGTTCTTTGTTTTAATCTTTAATCCATTTTGAATATTTTTTAAATAAGGCTTGATATAAGTGTTCAACTTCATTTTTCTGCATGTTGCTTCACAGTTTTCCCAATACCATTTATTGAGACTACCTTTTCCCCACTGTGTGTTCTTGACATGTTTGTCAAAGATTAGTAGGTACATGAATTTCTCTCCAGACTCTATTGTGTTTCATTGATCTGTATGTCTGTTTATAGGTCAATGCCACATTTTTTTTGATTACTGTAACTTTGTAATAGATTTTGAAACCAGGAAGTTTGATCTCCAGCCCTAATCTTGCTCAGAATTGCTTTGGCTCTTTTGAGACTTTGGGGTTTCTTTGAATTTTAGAATTTTTTATTTTTGTAAAAAAAACAAAGGTTTTTGCAATTTTGATAGGAATTGTATTGAATAGATTTTACTTTGGGTAGTCTGGATATTTTAACAATATTAATTATTCGAACATGGGATAACTTTCCAGTTTATGTCATCTTTAAATTTCCTTCATCTTTGTTTTTAGTTTTCACTGTAAAACTCTTTCCCCATCTTGTAAAATTTATTGCTAACTATTTCATTGTTTATTGATGTTTTGTTAATAGAATTGTATTCTTAATTTCTTTTTCTGATAGCTTATTGTTGATACATAGAAACAACTGATTTTTTAAAAATATTTTGATTCTATATCCTGCAACTTTACTGAAACCATTTATTCTAACAGTATCTCAGTGGATTATTGGGATTTCTACATAAGATACTATTATCTACAAGCAGACAATTATGTTTCTTTTCTGCTTTTTGTGGCTTTATTTCTGTTTTCTAAATAATTGATCTCTCTGGCTAGCACTTCCAATTCTTTGTTGACTAAAAGTGATGAAAATGGGATCCTTGTCTTGTTCCTTATCTTAGAGGAAAAGCTTCCAGCTTTTTTTTAAGTATGATTTTAGCGATGAACTTGTCATATACCACTTTTTAATTAAGGAAATTTTTGAAACATTCCTAAGATAGACTCAATTAAAAAAAGAGAGAGAGAGGGAGAGAGCGAGCAAGAATCACCATTTACCATAATTGAAGAGTATAAAATATTTTTATTTTAAAAAGTGACACACTATATACTTAGTGTCTCTATGCACATACCTTGTGTAGTAGGATTGCACTACATATTGATATGCAGTTTTCTCTGGATGATATAAGTAACAATCAAGGGTGTTTTTGATTCTGGGCACTTCCCTGGCTTACCCACTTCCTCATAACTGAATTTCCACATGAACTGTGCTGTCCTTGCCAGAGGTATCATTTGTCTCCAATATTGAAAGGACAGATGCAGTGACTCTCTAAATACCTGCCTTGCTTTTGTTTCCTAGTGAGAGATTTTCAAGTGCACATTAAGGCTGAGAGCACCTTTACTGAAGGCAAATCCTTAGAACTGGTTTGTCTGGTAGTGGGCAGTGGCTGGAACCCACAGCTTCAGGGCATTTGGTTCTTCAATAACGATGAAATTGCCCGCATTGATGCTGGTGGAGTTCTGGGCTTGAAGAAAGACTACAGCAAGAGAGCGAGTCAAGGACTATTCCAGGTATCAAAGTTAAGCCCCAAGAATTTCTCACTCAACATCTTCTCTGTTGGGCCGGAGGATGAAGGTACCTACAGATGTGAAGTGTCAGAGATGGAGAGAGTTCAGACAGGCTCCTGGCAAGTACTGAAGCAAAAGCAGTCACCAGAACATCAAGTGCACCTGAAGAAACCAACAGGTATGTGAAGTGCAGACCAGAAGCAATTGGGTGGCTTCAGGATGCCCTTCTTTATTAGTACACGTGCCTCTGGGACAGTGGGGGGTCCACCAGAGAGTTGGGTGTCAGTCAGAGCCCTGGAGGGGGAGAGAAGCAAACCCAAAACAAACTGAAGACCCAAGCCACTTTCCTGAGCCATGAAACGCGTTGTGACAATGCACATAGCACTTTATTCCTCTAAATCTCAGCTTCCTTGACTGCAAGATAATGATCTAAAATTAGACTGATCTTAACAAATTTCTTACTGCCTTACATCTGAGATTCTATTGCTTTGGTTCTAATTTTTATTATTTTAAGGTGTTTTTTTTTTTTTTGGCACAGAAGAACTGGAGTGTAGGCTGAAATGAGAGGAGGTGGGGGGGACAAGCACCCACATGCACACCCCGACATCCCCAACATGTTTCAGTAGCTTTCTCTCGGTTCCCTATCATCTTAACCTGCTATAGGAGTGACGCTCATTCTTAGTTCTTCAAAGTCTGAGTCAGAGCAAGAAATGACAGGTTAAATGACAGTGGGCACCCCAGTTCCTGCAGCCTGTTGTGATGTGGTGAGGTGTCTGCACAAGCCAGCCAGAGGAACTGTAAGCATCAAAGCAGGAAGGCCTTTCAGCTCTTGCTCAGTTTATGAAAGCCTGTGGCCTTATGCATGTTTGAATAATCCGTGCTATTGTGTGGCGAGAAAACAAACCGACAATGAATGTTAGGATTCTCTGGGCTAGGCATTAAATTCGAAGCACAGAAAGATTAATTTCCCAAAAGGAAAAACAAAATAAACAAAAGCTAACGCTATTCCATTGCTCTTATTCACTGGAGGCCTCCCCAAAGGCTGATACATTTCACTTCTGTGTTCTTCTCCGTCGCCCCATTTGCCAAGAATGAAGATGCTCCAGCTTTGGCCCACATGCAAGCACCAGGAAGTGTGTTGTGTTAGTTTTCACACTAAACATTTGCTCTAACTTTCTAGGATTCAAGGAAAACTATGTAGGCGGTTTACATATTTACACAGAGCTAAATCTCTGCTCCCCGCATCTCAATCTCCCTGTAATATTTGCATCCTTGTTGAAGCCAACATGTAGGCATCTCTACCCAAAAGATCGAAAAGTGTGCTTTCTGGCATGCAGTTCATAAGCTGATCAGTAGGAGGTCTTCCAAAATTACAACTAGTTCTTCATATGGAGTAACAATAGCTCACAGCCTAAGGTGTAGAAACGTAAAATGCTATTGGTTAGTTTAAGGAACTTCTTGGGCCTTTGGTTTTGAAACCATTGCGTGAAGTCTGAGTAGAGTTCTACCATTCTGCGGCTGTTTTAAACAGAAGAGGTACTCACTGCCACTGTGAAGGTGTAACTTGTACACACTCAGCAAGTTAATTATGTCTTACCAAGAGGCAATAATCACCACAGTGAACTCAGGGGAAAAAAACTGATGTTAATGGAAACTAATCATAATGGTTATATTGGAGTAGTGAGATTATGAGTAATAATTTCCCCTCTGATTTTGGAAGTTCAGTTATGAGTTTATTTTGAACTTAAAGAAAATAGGTATATTCATGCCTCTAATGCCAAAATTTGGAAGCATTCCTGTATATAAGATATGTGTGTGTGTGTGTAAATAAATGAATATATATATATATATATATATTTATACACACACACACATATATCTTTTTACCTATTTGTGGACATTAACGTTCATTCTATCTTTGCAAGTTACATACTGTACACGTAGAACAGAAGACCAAGTTCCTTCCTCAGCAGGGAAGAGCAATTTGCAAACTCATTCAGATTCCGTTTAGATTTCTTGTTCTGTTTTGTTTTTCTCTTTTGGCTTGGGCCTCCCTCTGCTTTCACTAAGCAGCAAAGGGGAGCCTGTCAGTAGCTCCCCTTTGCTGGATCTTACCCTTACTAGCCAGGTTAAACCTCTCATATTTTATTCTTTCAACGAGGCTTTTATGTGGATGCTGTCATTATCCTCATATTCACAAGAAAGAAAATTGAACCTCAGAGAGGTCATCTGTGTCCCCAGCTAATTCTTCCAGGGGCCTTGACTTTAAGCCCGATACTGGGTTGGTCAGAATCCACTTGCTCCTGAGATGTCTTTGCATTTCCTCCAAAGCACCACCCAGGACAAGTCCTCACACAGAGACCCTTGTTGAATGAATATGTGCATTGCTACACTTCCTGAATTTCCTGTCTGGGGGCCAGATTTACATTTATTGTTTTACATTGTAATTCAGTCATAAAAAGGATCTTCCTTCAACCAACAACAGATAGATAGATGATTTGAAAAAGATAAATATATATCCCTAGCTACACATTCATTTATATATATATACATATGTGTATAGATGCCAATGTATTTCCTGCTGAGTAATTATTTTTAATAGTACTGTTGTACCACAAAGAGATCTAATTAACAATGCTCCTTGGTTCAAAATGCATACTAATTAGGCAAAGATAAGTAGAGAGAAGAAGGTCATTTTGAACTGTAACAGTCTGAATTGCAGAAAACTAAAAATTTAAATAAATATAGCTTCCTTGCTTCCAGGCTCAGACACCTAATTAATCTAGCAAAATATTACCAGATGTTTTCCCAACTAGATGTTCTTAAGAAAGGACCCGTTTAACAAATTGCTAAAAATAAGGATAAATGACAAATTAAGTGTAACTAGGTTCTCCTGCTATTCTTTCTGCTATCTTAGTTCCACTATTTAAATGTTCAGCAAATTATTTTTTCTGGGAATGGTGCTGGAGTAGACATCCAGATCTGATTTGTCCAATGCTAGTCAAGTCCTAATTATGAGCTTTCACGGTGTTTAAAAATGGTTTTATTACTTGGTGATGGGAAACCCGTGGGGATTACAATTGAGGTGGAAAGAAAAAAAAATGTACAAAATGATGTAAAAATAAACTTATAAAAATTTTTTAAAAAATGGTTTTATTTACTTGAAACACTCTTCTGCAACTGTGACCCACAGCTAGGACTGTGATGGTGTCTACCAACAGCAAGCAGCAGGCCGTGTGGGAAGGAGAGCCGCTCGCCCTTCTCTGCCAGGTGGATGGGCCCGAGAGTGCCCTGTCTGTGAGCTGGTTCCACACCCCGAAGCTCCAGGCACAGCCAGATTTGGTGGCCTGTATGGCACAGGATGGCACTGTGGAACTGGGATCCAACAACCGTAGCAACGTAAGGCTGGAGAAGAGGAACTGGGCCATCTTCCAGCTGGACATCACCTCCACCGCTGTCACAGATGGTGGCCTGTACGAGTGCAGAGTGTCTGAGAGGACCCGGAGCCGGACCCATGATCTGCACTGGTCTGGGACCACGTTGGTCACTGTCAACTCTCTGGGTAAGTGTCAGAGCCCTTGTCTGGACTTGCACCTTCCGTGGCTTGAGTGGGATCCCATCGTGTGGCCTCCTGAGTACCCCAGGACACAGCGCATGTAGCTCTGGCTTTCAAGTCTGTCAGTTAATCTGTAATGTTTACTCTTCTCTACAAAGCTTTAGAGAGGTAAGTTGTTCAAGGTTAAAATCAAAGCCCTGTGAGTCAGACTCGACTTACAGAAGAGAGAGGTTGGGTGTAGCTGGGCCTTGTGCTTGGGCTTTGACAGCTGCAGCCCAGAACTGCAAGGCTCATCTAGTGTGGGCAAAGCAGCCTTCCTGAGCTCAAGTGTGGGGTACAGAGGAGGCCGCGCTGGGGCTGGGGAGCGCCCCGCCCACTCACCCAGCTGTCTGAGCAGCTGACTGGAGAAACATCACTGATGGTGGCTGCCAAGAGCGGTCTTAGCTGAAGGTCAACTTTGGAGAACGGAGGTCAGAATTCAGTAAAGTGCTGTGAATCAACCTCCCTCCCCGCCCGCCCCAAATATAGGATACCCTCAACAGATGGTGGCATGGCTCAGTGTGAAGAGGCGGAGACCCGGGACGTTCAAGTACTGTCTGATTTGGCAAATGTAACAAAAGTTGTGTTTCCCATTTCCGCCTGCAGGGCCAAGTTTGCAAATTATCCTAGTTAGCCGGCAACCACAAGTGCAGTTAGCCAACACCTTCGACCTGTCCTGCTTGGTGAAGGCTGACTACTCTGACCTCACCCTCCCAGTCACGGTGACCTGGCAGTTCCAGCCAACGGAGTCTCGAGATTATCGCCAGTTTATTCGAATCACCCATAATGGCACTATTGAATGGGACGATTCCCTGCCCCAGTTCCAAAGGAAGACGAAGGTTTCACAGTCTCCATTTCGCTCTCAACTCCTCATCCATGATGCCACCGAGGAAGAGGCAGGAATGTATCAGTGCAAGGTTGAAGTTTACGACAAAAATTCCCGACACACAGAGGGCCCGGGGAGGGCCTCTGCCTCTTCTCACCCCTTGAGGATAGATGTCACATTGCCAGGTAAGCTGGACGTGGACCCCTGCCTTTTTTTTTTTTTTAAATCCTCCTGTTTTGGGTAAGATACAGAGTAAAGCATCAACTACCTTATTCCTGTGTTTATGCTACACAAACCTCACATGTAAGTGACACTCAGGCTGACGTGACAGTAAGCTGCTCTGTGGTGCGTGCTCGGTCATTGCAATAGTTCCTCACCAATGGGTTGGGGCTCTTCTGTTTCTCCCTACAGTCCCCACCACCCAGCAGCCATCGGGTCCCAGGCACACAGCGGAGGCCCCTGAGACAAGCGTCCAGTGTCACTCTGGGAGTGGACACACATACAACATAACTATGGCACACTTTCTATCATTTATGAAATGTTACAGGAAAGATGTCTGTGCTTAAGCCCTGAAGCACCTTCATGTGGAGGAGATCAGGGATTCCAACTGCACCGTCCTCATCTCTCTCCCCATCCCACCCCCACCTCCAGGCCTGCAGTTGTTAGGATGGACACCATGGAGAGATAACATCCGGCTTAATACCACAGAGAATTCTGGTGGCAGAGCTGCCCAAGGGTGAAACGGGTTGCGTAGTCAGAGGCGAGCTGTTCCAAGACTGAATGGGGTCTAGGCTCAGCCGGAGAGGGCATTGTACATCAGGGGGTGCAGGTGGCCTTGCCCTCCTTGACCTAATGTCCTCTCCACCTTAAAATTCCAAGATCCAGCAAAGAAAGAGAAGTAACTGTTCCTGTTCTTTGCATTTAGAGAGCAGACTCAAAGTCAATGTCAGCAGTCAAGCCCGCGAAGTCGTCATCAGCTCCAACACTGTCATAGAATGCGGCATCTTGTCCCGGTCAACTGGAAACCTTCATTTAGCCATTAATTGGTACTTTTCTCCCACTGCTACTAATGCAAACTGGCAGAGTCTTCTGGAAATGGACCAGACCAGTGTCGTCAAATACACAGCTGACTTTCACAATCCACAGAGAAAGCAAAAATTCCACCCCGAGAAAGTTTCCCAAGATTTGTTTCAGCTCCACATTCTGGGCGTGGAGGATGGGGACCAGGGTGCGTACCGCTGCACGGTGCAGGAATGGCTTCTGTCCACCCAAGGAACCTGGTATAAGCTTGGAGAAGCAGCCTCAGGCCTCACAGAACTGAAGCTCAGGCCCACAGGTACACCTGCGCGCGTCTTCCTGGGGGGTTTGCGCCTGTTCTTGGGCAGCTGTTCCACGGAGGGAAGCTGTGATCGCACGAGGGGGACCTGAGTCGCGGAATGGCGTCCATCCTAACAAGGGCTGTGCGGCCTGCAGGCTGCCCGCAAGAGGCGGGGTCACTTAAGGCCAGGCCACCGGGGCTCTGTAAGCGCGGTGGGGAGCGGGCCCCGCAGACAGGCTTGCGCCTCAGCCCGCCGCCTGGCCTGCGCGGGCGCCATCCCCGCGCCTCTGCAATAACACGCTGTGTCACTCCGCCGGGACTCTGCTGTAATTTGGCAGGGAAAGAGTAATACGAAGCATATTTCTCCCACTGTGAACAGAAACTGTACAACTCTATAGGGATGTGTGGAGAAATTGCTTTCCAACATTTGACTGCCTCAACATAAGGCAAATAAGGGTAGTTAACTGTTGGAATGGCTTACTGAGGGAGTCTCCTCTTCCTCAGGAGATCTTTAGAAATGCGATCGAAGTCCCCTCCATTTGCTTTGGTCGGAGCGAGCTCGCCGGCTGAATGTGGCCAGGGTTGATGAGCTCCCTTAGCATTCGTTAGGTCACCACCAGTGTTGATTAAAATTAAATGAATGTCACAGCTAAGGTCTGGGAACTGGCTGAGACCCAAAAGCACAATACGAAGAACTAAATCGAGTCTGGCGCTTAAAATCCTATTTTCAGTGGAACATCAAAAAAGATTATAATGATCATCACGATGTGTTGGGCAATTAGGAAAACAAAGGTTTAAGTCCCAGCTCTTGCCTGAAGGAGCTCGCTGTTTGCTGGGGGCAGCGGGGACTGGAGGCAGCTTCCTGCCAGGCGTTCTTCTCCAGAGCTGGTGCCTGGCTTTGTGTTCCTCACTGCCTCTTCCTCTCCCGGCTAAAGGTGGGTGTTCCTCCGGAGTAGACCCTTTTCTTGGTGTGCTCTGTTCTCTCCAGGACTTGTTAAACACTGGCTTGCTTTCAGCTACCACCTTCAAGATGACAACGCCAAGCTCCAAGCTGTCCCACCATTTCTGCCTGTTGTCTTTTCTGCTTGGACACCTGGAGACCCTCAGACTCAGCATGTCCGGACTTGTTGCTCATCTCTGCTACCCCACAAGCCTCATGCTTCTGCCTTTCCCATCTGCCGGGCTGGCATCACTTTCTCCCAGTTGTGCAAGCCAAGAAATGTGTTGTCCAATCTTCTAGCATATCGAGAGATGCCTAAAATCTTTGGATTCCAGAACATCTCTTAACTTGAGAAAGTTCTCAACTGACTCAAATTCTTTTCAAGTAAATAGTGAGGATGGGGCCCTCTCTGGTGGCACAACAGGTTAAAGCACAGCACTAGGAAGCTGGCCGCAGCCACTGCAGACAGACTTCAATTGCTGGCCAGGGAGTGACCCACATGGCTCAGCAGACCTCTCCTGTTTCCCTGCTGCTCCCCTCAGCAGTGGATTTCAGTAGATCTGCCTGTTCTGCTCCCCACTCTGTCTCTGGGGAATCCTCTCACCTGCATGCCTCTGGCCTAGACCCCAGTTCTTGTATGCATAAATAAATAAATCTTAAAAAATAATAAATAGGATGACAGACAAAACATCACAGGCTGGATTTGTGGATAGTTTGGGCTTGGGGACTCAGCACCTTGGCTGGGGGATGAGTTAAGGAAGAGGTCTCGGGACAAGAAGGACTGGTTAGCACTATAACAGGGAATTTGCTCTAAATTCAAAAAAGGAGAGGATTTCAAGAAGAAAATGGACTTTGATGACAAAACCACAGGACGGACAAAAAAGACTGGCAGATCTTTTGGAGAGGAAATGGGCCCTCCTGCAAACTGATATTATCAGGCTTCTCCATGAGGGGAGGAGAGTAAAGGTGGTGACAGAAGATTCCAGAAGCAGACGAAGTTGTTCTTTCAAATAGAGATTAATAAATGTGTTTGTGTTAGCACTGAGCATGGAACACATACTGTATTTTCTTTGCATCTACTCTGGCCTTGATTCATGTCCTCACCTGCTTGTTAGCAAGGAATATTTTTCAAAAGTTCAAGTTGATTAAAACCTGGTCTACTCCAACCATTTAAATAGTCCTTTTGGGTGGGATTCTAACACTTGCATAAGGATTTTGAGTCTCTCCTAGTCTCCTCCTTCTCTGTGACTGCTCCTGAGATGGTATCTGGGTGAACCAGGAACAAGGTAATTTGCTGAGAACAAAGAGTAGCAGTTGGGTGTCCACCCCTAGGGGAGAGCCAGAAGTTTTGAAAGGTCCCCCCCACCCCCACCCCATGGGGGAAGCTAACCAGGGAAAAGTGAACTCCAAGGGCAGAGGGCCTACCGTGGCTGGTGGTTTTTAGTGTGGGGTCCAGTAGCCAGAGGCAGGCTAGAGAAGGGAAGTGGCTGAGTTAGTTCATGCAGAGGCTGTTCTGGAAAATACGGAAGGTGCTCAGGCCTCCAACAAGAGTATTATCGACGAAGGCACTGATGTCTAAAGAATATCCTCAAAAAGAGCTAGACTTTCCGAGGGAGGGTTTGCATCTAAAACACAGGAGGCGAGGCCGCTTGCAGGACATGAGTGGGCAGAAAGAGCTGCCCCCCCCCAAAGGGACAGGTTCGTTGCGAGTCCCGGGCGGCGGCCCCAGGAGGAGAGCTGTCTCTGCTGCATTGCCACTTGACTAGTCATAGTGGGACCCGGCAGCTGCTGTGGGATTTCCAACCTGAAAGTCCCAGCTTGTGTCTAACTTACGGCCATTTTGGTTTTTAGGAAGTGAGATACGCGTGTCCAAGGAGCCCTGGACAGGAAATGTCACAGAGCACAGCGAGGTGGTCCTGCGCTGCAGCCTGGAGAGCTCGCACAGCTCGGCCTCCCAGTTCTCCGTGAGTTGGTTCTGGGGCCGGGAGCCGCCCCAAAGCCAGGAGCTGGCTCACCTGCAGCACGACGGCCTGCTGCGCTACCGCGAGGGGGCGCCGCAGAGCACCCGCCTGCTCTGCTACCGCGCCTCGGCCGCAGACTTCGTGCTGACGCTGCGCCCGGTGGCCCTCGCCGACGCAGGCAGGTACTGGTGCCGCGTGACAGAGTGGCAGCTCCACGGAAACCCCGGCAAGTGGGTCGGCCTAGCGTCCGACGAGTCGCAGCCCATGGCGCTCGCCGTGCTGCCTGCAGGTAAGGCGGGCGCCAGCTTCCTGGGCTGGGGCGGGGAACCCCGGCTCCTCGCTGCGTTCTCACTCAGCTCCCTTTTGGGGCTGAAGACAACTTGCCAGTGGGCAGACAACGACGGCCAGTTTCCCTCCTCGGTAACTCGCCAG